TGTGCGCCACCATGCCGGGCAGCCTGCTTTCTTATACCGCACAGGACCCCCTCTCCAGGGGTGGCATCACTTACACTGGGCTGGGCCCTCCTACATCACTCAACAGTCAAGAAAATGACCCACAGGCCCTTCCAATGGGGGAAATTCCTCAGTTGAGGGTCTTTCCACCCAGGTGTCTAAAGTTGACAATTGAAGCTATCCAGCACAGCAGGCAATCTTAGAACCGCCTGGACAGACATCTGAACGTGTGTAATTCTATTTTTAGGCAGTCAGGGCCAGATCTTTATCTTCCCACCCCCTCCCCTCCCCTCCCCTCCCATTGCACATTGGGTGCTCTGGGGTTCCTGTCTATCTACCTGTCAGTCTGGCCTCTCTTCCTGGCCCCTGGCCCACTTCCCCAGGGGAATTCAGCTTTCCCTCCAGGCGGGGGCCCCTCCTCTGGGCAGGGTGTCCAAGATACCAACCCTCAGGTCCCTCCCCTCCCAATGCCCACTCCCTGCCGCTAGTGTTCATCCATGAATTGACTGGCTCCTGGCATGGTAGGCCCAGGAATGATAATGGAGGACATGCAGAAGAAAAATAAAGCTCATTTTAAAAATGCACACGGCCCACAAATGTGGCGAGCCTTCCTCTCCCTCCCCTTCCAGCAGTGACTCTGAAAACAGGGCCTGGTTCCTCCCCTCAAGTCACTGCCTACACTCTCTCTGCTCCCTGCCCCACCCCCACCCCCATCTTCCCTACAGTTCAGCCGTGACTCAGGGCTAGGGGGACCTTGGAGAGGGTTGCCTTGGGCTAGCAAAGGCTGCCTGCTCCCTGCTTGATCTGATAGTGGAAGAATTCTGCGAGACTGTCGTTGAAGACAGGAAGCCCTCTGAGCTAAATGGTGTAGGTAAGATGTGATTTTTTTTCATTCATTTCCTTTTGTAATACTTACGGTTGGGAAGGTGTGTTGAAATCCAATTATGATTTTTTTAAAAAAAACCTCCTGGCATATTAGGGTGATTTAATGGCAGCTGTGTTCCCAGCAGGTCTTTGATTGACTGCGTTAACTGGGAGGCTGCTGGGAAGTGGAGCCCACGTTGAAGAACACTCTGAACTTAATCTATTCTTAGTTCAAGATGCCATCTCAGGAACTACCAGCTCTCAGTCCAAATAAAGCCATTTCTACTGGGAGAAAAAGAACATATGGGACACATGTTTAAATGTTTATGACACAGGCTGGAGAGCTGGCTCAACAGTTAAGGGCACTGGCTGCTCTTCCAGAGGACCTAGGTTCAGTCCCCAGCATGCACATGGCAGCTAACACCCGTCCTTAATTCCAGTTCCGGGAGATCTGGAGCCCGCTTCTGGCCTCCATGGGTGTTGCACACACATGCATGCAGACAAAAGTCATACATAAAAATTATTTTAAGAATATTTTATTTATGCCGGTCGTGGTGGCATACGCCTGTAGTCCCAGCACTTGGGAGGCAGAGGCAGGTGGATCTCTGTGAGTTCAAGGCCAGCCTGGTCTACATAGTGAGTTCCAGGACAACTGGGGCTACAGGGAGACCCTGCTTCAAAAAGACAAAAACAAAAAAAAAATTATTTTTATTTTATGTGTATGTGTGTATTGCCTGCATGTAGGTAAGCACACCCGTATCGAGCAATGCCCATGGAGGTCAGAAGAGGCTGTTGGATCCCCTGGGACTGGAGTTACGGACAGTTGTTAGCTGCCACGTGGGTGCTGGGATTTTGAATCCACTGGGTCTTCTGCAAGAACAGCCAATGTTCTTAACTGCTGAGCCATCTCTCTAGCCCCCCCCAAATTAAATTATTTTAAATGTTTATGAAATAAAGATTTTGAATGTGAGAAGATTCTATCGGAAAGGAAAACTGATGGATGATTTAATGCGACTTCCAGAAATGAGATATACAGTAACAACATTGAAAACTCAATGGTTGGGCCAGTCATGGTGGCAGATGCCTTTAGTCCCAGCACTCAGGAGGCAGAGGCCGCCAGACAGATCTCTGTGAGATTGAGGCAGCCTGGTCTACATAGCAAGTGTC